AAGGAGGGTTTGAGGACAATTCTGGGTACAAATATTGAATGCTGAGAAGGAACAGCTCAAATATATAACCACATAAGATAAGTTTGTGTTTGCTGATTTGAAACCATGCAGAATGTAACTGCTGGTACCTTCTTTTTCAAGAGTAATCATTTAATCTCTCTTTATGAATGCATATATTTATTGGTAACAGCTCAGTTGTTTTATGATGCAATGGTTCAAATTAACTCCCTGGGCTGCTGCATGCAGATAGTAACTGGAGAAGATGTTTTGCAATCTGCTCTCTTCCAATCATAACTGCGAGTCTCCTGAGGGATAAGTGAAAGGCAGACGAGTTGACCTAATCACTCTGTTTTTTCGGTTGTTGCTTGTGAATGGGTTTAACAATGTAGGGTCTCTCAAGAGGGTTACAGCGCATTTCTACGATCAATTGTGGGGCTCCAATTAACTATATGAGCTCAGTGTGATGTTATTTGGAGCTGATGTGGTGAAGTCAGCACACCCTTAACAATCCGTCAGAACTCCTTCCTTTGCTTGTTCTCCATCTCTGATCAATCTGAACTGTGGCTTTTCACACACACACACACACACACACACACACACACACACACACACACACACACACACACACACACACACACACACACACACACACACACACACACACACACACACACACACACACACACACACACACACACACACATATGCATATTGATCTTTTACAACTGCCCTCCAAGGCTACCAAAGAGTGGCATGCTGCAATCAGCTGTGTGAGCGGCATCACAAATGAGGTTTGGGGGAGCAACGGAGGGAGAGAGATGGGGAGAAAGAGGTAAAGAGGCTGTGTGCATGAGTACATTGAGGGAGAGACAGAAAGGGAATGGGGAGGTGTGTGATGGGAGGGAGGAAAATGGGGGAGATGGTGTGCATTGGAAGAGGAGGAGGAGGCGGAGGAGGAGGAGGAGGAGGGGTGTAGTGCTGCAGTGGAGAGAAGTGAGAGGAGACTGCAGTCTTTGCTTATGGGAGAGATCAGACTATGTTACCACAGCTCTGAGGGACTGTAGCGAGCTGGAGTTTCTGATATTGGATGGGCCACCTCACGAAGGGGATAACCACATCTGACCGGTGAGTTTGTTTTGGGAGATCTTTTTTAAATTAGGGTGCAGTTAGGTAACAATCAAAAGGTACAATTTACGAATGGCATACAAGTATCCTGTCTTCAAGTGATGATTTAACACTTATACCTGTATTCTCTGCACATGATTGGGAATCAGAATGTGTCACAGTTTTTTTTGTGGCTGAGTGATGCTGGCCAGTGGTGAGCTGCAGAAATCAAAGGCAGATAAGGACTGAGTGCTGATGGCATGGACAGACACATGTCTCTAAATCCTTAAGAAGAAAGGCCTATAGATATGTTTTTGGTGTTTTGCATGCAGATTCATTTCTGATCATTTGAACATAAAGCATATTTAGTTATGAAAGTTAGTGTTGCAGCCAAAACTTGAATGATCATGAATCACATCAGAGTAAAAGCAATCTGCACTCACATAATGCCCAGCGCTCAGGCAGTGACTTGACGCTGGACTTGAGCCAATTGTTGATTTGATTGGCTGGTCACCGGCTATAGGCAGGTTGTGGATAGACACGATCAGGATTGCTTAGCAACAATGATCTGCCGGCCCACAGCACACAGGCCTCTACTGTCTGTGCACACCACAGGAATTTCATGACTAATTCTAACAAGACAAGAATACAACAAGAGAAGGCGTCCACTCTACACACACATGTTTGAATGCAGTACTTATTGATCTGTGGCCAGAGAGTGAATGGAGATGATGTTACACAACGATTGTGTTTGCCAGACACAGATAGGGAAGCCCTGCTGGTTCACTTTCATCTTGTGATACATATATCCTCACATGCACTGTGAGCTCATTTACTGTAGACATGTCTGTTCAGCAAAAGACTCATTCTTACTTCACATATAAACTCTGTGTGTGTGTGTGTGTGTGTGTGTGTGTGTGTGTGTGTGTGTGTGTGTGTGTGTGTGTGTGTGTGTGTGTGTGTGTGTGTGTGTGTGTGTGTGTGTGTGTGTGTGCATGAAACCCTGTCTTGACTGTCGTTCTTGCCCATTAAGAGCGGATTGAAATGATCTGTCTTTTAAACTAAGACGGATCAATACCCTCTTCTAGCAGGAGATACAAGAAAGATTTGTTGGATAACACACACACACACACACACACACACACACACACACACACACACACACACACACACACACACACACACACACACACACACACACACACACCCACACACACACACACACACACACACACACACACACACACACATTCTATATTTTATTCATGCTGACTGTGTTGTTCAATTCAATTTTACACTTCATTTTTCTTGTCTATGATACAAGAATATAAGACCATTTACCACATACCAAAGAATCACATAACGCTCTCTTTGCTGCTTTAAAACACATTCATTCCACAACCTTTTCTGTCAAAACAATTTTCCCATTTCCCATGTTCACCCTGAAGCAAAAACAAACAAACATGGAGAGGTAGGTCATAGAGGGAAAACAAGAAAACGGTTGTCAAAATGCCCAACATATTTTGCAATATGTTGAGCTGGTGGGGGGCATGCAGCAGACAGGTAGTGTCCAAATAACAGGGTTCAGTATTGAATATAACACCTGTCTGTCACACATGAGCTCCCGTGTCTCATACTGCAGTAAAACAAATCTTTGGAGAACTTCTAACCACTTTTTTTGTTCCTATGTCTTTGTCGAAGTACAACTGGGCTTTGTGTTATCCAATAAATTACGTATACATTTTTGCTACAATGTAAAAGTTGTCATATGCCTCCTGCAGAATAAATATTGTCTCACTCTTTGTTATCTCTTTGTATGCAAAGAGATAACAAAGAGTGCGAAATATAATGCTCACTTAAGGCTGGGAGGTAAATTGATTTTCTCAGCTTTTTTTTGATGGATTGAATTTCCTGAGGGTAAAAAGGTGAACCATTGTAAAGAGAGACGTGCTATTCTCTCATTGTGCTGAAATCAATTTAAATGTCAGTCACATTCGTTTTTTGGAGCATTACGGTTCAGTTCATTCCTCTCCAGGGGTACGACTAATGATTAATCTGCAACTCAATAATTAATTGTTTGGCCTGTGAAATGTTAGGTTGGCTAAATTGTTATTTTTTGTAATTGTTATTGTTAAATCACAATTGTCCTTAACCCAAATATGATGTCATCGAATGTCAATGTGAAAAACCTAAAGAAAACTGAGAAAAGCAGCACATCTCCAGGACTGAGAAAATGGAACCATGTTTGAATGTTTAAAACTTGAACTCAATCATCATAAAAACCCACTGAGAGATTGACAGGTTATGTTCTGTCATTGAACTTATCCTTTAGTCAGCTCGTTATTTCTCTTTAGTTAAAATATGTTAAGCATTCAAACATCTATTTGTTTTTATCCAATACATTCATATGGCAGCAATTTACTTGTAATCTATGTGTTAATCACTGACTCCACCTAGCTTTTTCCTATACATGTTACCAAAGTGGTAAAGACTATCCCAGCATGCATTTGGTCGAAGAAAAGGCAAAGGACTTAAACTCAAAAGCATAAACAGACAAAATAATGATTTTCAATCCTAACATGTAGGGAGAACATGAACAACTGACAGAAAACAGGTTGAAATAAGATTGATACCAATTTCATGTCTGTACAGTAAATGTGAAGCTACAGTTGAGTTTAGCATAAACACTGGACACAACTAGCCTAGTCCTATGAAAAGGAAACAGTTTGCACCTATCAGCCCCTCTAGATCTAACTAATTAACCAATATTTTTTTTTGTAATGTATTATGTGCTGTCATATATCTAGGTTGTGTATTGTAAACTGAAAGAGGATGTAAAAACACAGGCTGTGGTTCCAGTCTTGGAAACAGTTAGCTGTAGCTTCATTTTTTACAGACAGAAATTATGCTGTAGAAGTATTTTATCTTCTGTATTGCTTTAACAATTCAGCTAAGATCGAACTATAGACAATATTAGGGCCTATTTCTAGGTCTCTCTTAGTCAACTTTCAAATCATTGGTGTAATGTGTGTATTCAGTCTCAACATCCATGTCTTTTATTTCATAATGGATTCATTAGCTGAGGATTTGTGCTCATTATTCTAACTGGTTTCTGTTTAATCTCTCACTGATAATGACCATTGTTGACTGTGATGACTGTGATGATTCTATTTCCCAATATCTTTTGCAGAGCTGAGCTTTATTGCAACTCATCATCTCCCACACAAATGAGATTGTGTTGGTCGTCAGTCTCTTACTAAAAGAGCATCAATACATTGATAATGAACATAAAATGCTTGAATTGATAATAATTGATAATTTCTTTGATTTAATTTGATACTTGAAGCACGATTTTAGGAAATGTGCTCAATTGTTTTCTTTCCAGGAGTTGGATAAGAAGATCAACATCTCTCTCGCGTCTGTGCATTAAGAACATAATTTAGGAGTTAATGAGCTATGCATAAAGGTCATACAGGACGAGGATCAGTTTGCCTGGTCTACACAATTCAAAGATTGGCCTACAAACACCTTTACCTTTCAAATGTGTTGAAGTTAAGCAATTTTGCATTTCATGAGCCTGAATTTGATTATTGGACAGTCTGTATTTTGCTAGAGAGCAACATACAATGAATGTGTGTGTTTTGGAGAAATCCTGTGTTTGTGTGTCCCTCTGGAGAGAACTTAGGGATTTGAGCCTTTCCAGACCATTTACATACACAAAAACCTATATAACACACAACAGGAAAGGGAAAACCCCAAAACCATAATCGGGCCTCTTTCGTGTTTAAAGTGTCCTTCCAGAGGATCTCCCTCCAGAATCATCATCAGCACTGATGTCATGACATTTCTTTGTCATGCCTTACTTTCCCTTTCTCTCTGATCTGTGTGTTCCTCAGGGACGCTGCGTCTAGTCTTTGACGATGAAGTTCAACTTGTTCAGAAGGCCAGAGGCCGTGGCGGCCCCCGAGCCCACCGGGATCACTGGGGCCACCGGGGCCACCACGGCCACTGGGGCCACCTCGGCCCCCACCCAGGCCTACGTCTCCACCTCGGTGCCGGACCTCGGCCCTGGCTCCAACAACACAGAGATCAGCAAGAACGACATGTTTGAGGAGATCAAGAGCAAATTCTTGAATGAAATTGACAAAATCCCATGTAAGTTATAATATAACGCACTGCACTTGATATTATCAGGTGCAGTGCTACTTCCTGCTGATGTAAAAAACTTTACAGAAATTCTAATTTACACATCAATCTTAATTGTTGCCCTTTTGTTTTTGACTGACAGTGCCTCCTTGGGCTCTGATCGCCATCGCTGTTGTGGCCGCGTTGCTTATTCTGACCTGCTGCTTCTGCATAATCAAAAAATGCTGTTGCAAGAAGAAGAAGAACAAGAAAGGGAAGAAGGGGAAGGATGGCTTCAACATGAAGAACATGCAGGGCGAGGTATGACGCCTTGTGCTTCTTACACGCTGAAAAAGAGTAACTGGATGTTTTAGGTGATATTTTGCCTTTTTTTTACATCAATTTACTATTCACGTTTTTATTGCTATTTATACCATTTATTGCTAATATTTTCTGTCACTATAGCTAACCAAATTTGATCTTTTACCAGCAGCTTTTGTAGCCCAGACTGTAGAGGACACAAGGAGAGCTCTCTTCCCCTCCATTTATTCGATGTTGTTGTTGTGGTCGTTCAAATGTGTGACGTATTCCATTGTGGCCCCTTGGTGAAAAATGACACACTTTGTTACAAGTTGGCAAAGAATAATGAGCACTATGAATTGGAAAGTTTCTCCTGTCAAGTTGCAAAGTATAAAAAGCAACATTTCTATGTGATGGATGAAGGCATATCACCCGCATTAATATTGGGAGACTTCGGATAGAAAGTACAGTAAATCAGAGATTACATGTTAGAAAAGCCACTCATTTGAGAACTAATCAACTAACATCAGCATAGATTGCTCTGAGCTCCAGTGACAGTTAATTAAATTAATAAATTACTTCTGTCCAGGGTGTGAATTTATCGTCCCCAGCCCAAAACAAGAGTGTCATTTCTCACCATAATTGTGGTGGTGGTGTTGACTGCCTCTCTTCTTGTAGTGTGTGGTGTCTTGTGAGTTGAATCTCTTCCTCTCTCTGCTCTCCTCCTTCCCCCCCCCCCGCTTTGTGTCTGTCTTGTGTGTGCCCCGTGTTTCTTGACTGTGGTGGACTCCCGCTCTACGGTAGGTGGATAGCTCACGTTGGCGAGGGGGTTTCATGGAATGAAAGTCGTAGCTTCCTTTGCAACTCTGCAACTTTGCAACTCTTTAATTTGTGCTGTGACAGCTTGAGAATGACACAATGGAAAGCTATGATGTGCTCCATAAACCCCAGAGAGGAGAGTTTAACACATTGTTCCTGGGACAATGTAACTGTAACTCACACCAATATGGAAAGTATTGGACTAAGAGATGATATGCAAGACACTTTTTAAACACTAAGAATATATGCATGTGATAAAGGGCATGGTTGGTTGTTTGGGAGACATGAAAACGGTGATGATAAAACTGCATGAATAGAGCAATACACGCAAAACTGTCCTTTCCATTGAAATGCTCAAGGAGAACGTAGGATGACACTGGATGGCCTGAAAGAAAAAGTCCTTTCAAAGTCAAGGCCACCTTTGCAACGAGGCTTACATTTTCAATAATAACACTGCAGCAATAAGACTATGAAATAGCTGCCTGTGCCCTTTCACCCTGAAACATTTATTGTAATAATAGGGAGCCTTATTTTATCTTGAAATATGAAGGTTGTGAAAAAAGTGTGTCATTTGAAAAGCCAGCTCCTTGCACTGCATTTTTTTTTCCTATTTGCCTTTAATCAAGGTTCAAGGTTCTTTATTTGTCATACGAACATAGCTACAGAGTAGTTATGTCGATGAATATGTTCTCGAACAGTGCAACATAATAATACAGAAAAACAGAAAAATATAGTAAATATTAAAAAGTAAATACAAAAAGAAAAATAATCATAATCATTTTAGTTTGCAGAAATGTGCTGTTGTGAGCTACTGTAGTTCCTTAGGTGTTTACATAAACACGTCCTTCATTTGGTGAAATTAAAAGGGCTTAGACAAAAAATAAAACCATGCCAATACCTGATTGTTTTTTGGAAGACTTGTACTTGTATGACCCCTTTTAGTGGAACTAGCATGCAAAGCCTCCACTGCCTCTGGCTGTCACAATGGCTGCACAAGCATGCCAAAGGAATTGCCCAAAAAACAGGAGGAAAAGGTGTCCAAAAATAAAAAGTATGAACATTAATATGTGTTACCAGTAGAGATGTCCTTGGTTATTATCATCAGGTGCTGTGCAGGTAAGCAGCAACCAGAACATGTATCTCCCACGTAAAAACTGCTGGAGCTCCAGTGTCTGTGGCATGCTGGCTGTGGTGGGGAGCCCTGTCGTCTGACTCCAGATCTCCTGACCCTTAACATCCTATTTCATCTTCTTACTTCCACACCACAGATACACCAGGACGAGGATGATGATGACGAGGGAGAGACTGGACTGACGGAGGAGGAGAAAGAGGAAGAGGAGAAAGAAGAGGAGAAACTGGGGAAGCTGCAATACTCCATAGAATATGACTTTGAAAATGCAAAGGTCTGTGGATGTCACTTTGTAATGCTATTTAAAGAAGTAATTCAATAATTTTTGGAATACAATAATCAGTTTTCTAACTGAAATACAAAATATTGATGGCACTTTCTTGTCTGAAAGGGTTGATATGGAGCTACAGGTAGCAGCCGGTTAACTTAGTTTAGAATAAAAGGGGAAGCAAGGAAACACTGTTAGCGTAGCTCTGTCCAAGGGTAGCAAAATCCATCTACAGTACCAGGACCTCTAAAGATAAAGATATAATGGGCTAATAAGTACCGTTTAACGGAGCAAATTTTCTGATTTGATTTTGAGGGCTTTTACCCTCAGAGTGGGCTAGCCGTTGTCTCCTGTTTTAATGCTAAGCTAACTGGCTGGGATAATAATACTACATCAAAGTCATTATTACTCCTTTAAGGTCTAACCCTTAAACATGTCTTGACGGCTTCTTCTTAAAACATCAGCAGGGTAACATCATAATTCATTTTGAAAAGCTAAATATGTCCCAAAAAAATAGATTAGCAATAATTGTTGATGAGGGAAAAAAAAAAAAAAACATTTGTCAGAGATTCAGTAACTTTGATCACCATTACTGTAATATTCTCTGAGGGGCAGCAGAGGGGTTATGCATTACATTAATTAATGAGGCTCAATCTACGAAGAAAAAGTATTTAAAACAACTCAACATTTATCAAGTCGGAGAGTAAAATAGGTAATGTTATTGTACAAAAATAACAATGTGAGAGTTCTTTGACATTGAAGAATGCCCTCTTACATTCGAAAACATTTCCAGTTTGGCAAAAAAGTGAGTGGAGATTTATTGCGAGGCTTAAGTTGACGGATGAGTTGTATAACCAATCTCTGCAGCAGTGACCCTGACAGAAATGAAAAATCGTACTGTACAATTTCTGGATTTCTCTCTGATAGAATTCTGTTTACTGTCCCTTATATCCCACCCACACCTCCTCTGCACACAGCTCACAGTTGGCATCCTTCAAGCTGCGGACCTCATTTCCATGGACTCAGGTGGAACCTCGGATCCCTACGTAAAAGTCACGATCCTGCCTGAGAAGAAGAAGAAGTATGACACCAAAGTCCACAAGAAAACACTGAACCCTGTCTTCAATGAGACATTTATATTCAAGGTAAGTCAGTATGTGGCGTGATAAAACTGAAAGATTTGGTGCAGAACAGCAACCTGCTTTAGAATCTGCATAAGAATCGATGCAGCTGTGAAGAGAAAGACAGACATATATCAATAATGTATACATGATGGTTAGGAAGTTTGCACACATAGTTCTCCTGCCCGGCTGCCAGTGTGTTCTCACTGTCTGTGCAGCCTGCTACTGGTACATGCTGCTCTCTCCCATCCTAATAAAGCCTGCATAGACTTTATAACTGGCTCCGGGTAACACTGGAAGCTCTGGATGCCTACAAACTAGCAGCAGCAGCAGCAGCACATTTTTTAAATTTATTTTCCAGAATGACTGATTTTTTCTTCCAGACAGCCCAAGAGACGTTTTTCAGCTTTAAGGTTTTTCAACGTTAAGGTTTTTGTATTGCTTACTTTGTGAGTGTTTTTTATAAGAGTGTGTCTCCAAAGGATGGACATTTAATAAAGGTTAATTTTGATGTAGCATCTTCTACTATCTATAACATCTTCCAACCATGTTATTGGATTGCTAGTTTTCCTTATTAACAGAATATAAATGATTTGATTATTTCTATTTAACTTCAAACTTGTTCTTGTCAATTTGACTTAGTTTACTTATTTAATGATATTCCATAGGAGCTGAATAATAAGCTGGCTTACCTGTCTATCAGATGCATGTCAAATAAGTCAGAGGATTTCATGTGAACATGTGAAGAATTACCAACATTCCTCTTGAACATAATTAGTTAACAATAAGAGTCAACTTTCCAGAAGAGATTTATTTTACCTTAGATTTTGCATTGACTAACATGTGAGGTTTCAAGGTATAACATGGTTGTGTTTGTCCCTCAGGTGCCCTACGAGGAGCTCGGGGGGAAGACTTTGAGTATGTCTGTTTTTGACTATGATCGATTTTCCAAACATGACGTGATTGGGGAGGTGAAGATCGCCATGAAGTCCATCGACCTCGGACAGCCGATCGAGGAGTGGAAGGATCTGGAGAGTGCAGATCAAGAGGAGGTGCGCTTAACAATCAAACTTCTAGATTTTAAAGAAGAGCGGTATTTATATTCCACAATAAATTGTCAGGGACTTTGTTTTATTAACATTATATGAGTTTTATGATATTCCCTAGACTGCGATATTTCCCAGAATAACCCTGAATAACAGAATCACCATATCTTTCACCTCATTCGATGCTGTTAACTTCAAAATCTGTCATTGTCACCACATGGACAAAACAACTTAGAGCATTTTGCTTCAGCCCATCATCATTTTCCAAAACAAGCAGTTTGCTGCTGTTGGCTGATGAGCGGATTGTTTCTGTCTATCCTCTCGGTGTTGCTCAGCCTGAGAAACTGGGAGATATCTGCATCTCCCTCCGTTACGTCCCCACCGCCGGGAAACTCACCGTCTGCATCCTGGAGGCCAAGAACCTGAAGAAGATGGACGCCTGTGGATTATCTGGTACAGACAAATTACAAAGCTGTCAAGAGAATCTAGATCACAATAGTTTTTTGAAGTTTAGTCCAGTTGGAATCAGTTTAAGCTTTCTTTGTGTTTGTCTGTACGACTGTAGATTTGAATAATTGTTCTTAATGTGATGTAACATAAACATTTTAGAAGATCATTGCACTAAATCACAGATCTGTATGATGGCCAAACATATCAAATAGATAAGTATGAAATGCTTCAGAACTGTTATTTGTCATGCAAGTACACTTGGGAAATGCAGTTCACAACTATAATCCAATGGCCAATTACACATACAGTTTATCGCGGAAATAGAGAACAATCAATAGAGGAAGTAAGTGAAAATGATAGAAGAGTATATCGAAAGTGATAAAAGGGATTGCAAACAGCACAAAACTAATTTACAATAATTTGTCTAAGTGAGCTCCTTTGCTGATCGTCTTGATGCCCATTGCAGATCCTTATGTGAAGATCCAGCTGCTGCAGGGCGGCAAGCGTCTGAAGAAAAAGAAGACTACAGTGAAGAAGAACACCCTAAACCCTTACTATAATGAGTCCTTCAGCTTTGAGATCCCCCTGGAGCAAATGCAGGTATAGTACACATCAAAGTCATATATGTACAGCAAGTACATAAGTAAGTAAAACAAATGTTTCTCTACTTTAAAAGTAACACACATGTTGATGTCTTTATACCTGGAAATGAATGTCCTTCTGCCTCTCTTTCTAGAAAATCTTGGTGGCGGTCACAGTGTTTGATTATGACAAGATCGGTAAGAATGACGCCATTGGAAAGATCTTCGTGGGCAGCAAGGCGACCGGCCTGGGTCTGAAGCACTGGTCCGACATGCTGTCCAACCCGCGCCGCCCCATCGCCCAGTGGCATCCATTGCAGCCAGAGGAGGATATCGATGGTCAGCTGGCAAAATTGAATGCAAAGAAGTAAAGTGCTCCACCAACCAGCTAAAACTCAGAGCCCCCACCCCTACTTTGCATGAAACCCATGACTTTAACACGTCGTGACTACCCGTCATGAAACCTGCTCAGCAAAAAAGAGACATCTTAGAATTATTCGCTCAATCATGGTTAAGTCGAGAAAAAGATAACAATTTTTAAGCATCACATTTCACACATTAGCGTATGTTGTGAAGAGTGCCGTTGAGAGCTATCGGGTGACTGGTTCATGAATGATCGACGGTTGGTCTTTCTTTCATTTGAAGAAACTCAGAAACTGATTCTTAGGGTGCTGACACGGAACGAAACTCTTGGTGAAAACAATGTTGGAAATAAAGCTTTAGTTTAGTCATAGAGCATGCTTTACTTACCTCCCCACTGCTCTGCATACATCACACCCAGTATTGTATCTTGCTAATAAGTGTGCTATAACTTGCAATAGAAAGAACTAGGGCTGTGCGATTATGGCAAAAATCATAATTACGATTATTTTGGTCAATAGTTGATATCACGATTATTAAATACATTCATTGACTTTGAAAACATCCATTTATTGAACTTTAAAACAAATACAAATAATAATTTGAACAGTATCTTTTCAACTGTTGATTACCCTGAACGTATAATTCAACTGAAAAAACAATACAAAAATAAATGATACATTTAAATAAATAATATCAAAATAATAAATACCAATAAACAAGATCAACAAATATTTTCGGAGCGCACTTCCACAAGCTACTAAACATATGTAAATATGATAAATAAAAATAAATTAGATCAAATATGTTGCAGTGCACTGTCACAACCTAGCAAAGCTAAATAATTGTTTTTTTCGATTATGTTGTTTTCGTAATTGTGGCAGGCCAAAATCATAATTGCGATTAAAATACGATTAATTTCACAGCCCTAGAAAGAACCGTAGTATTGGGTTATTTCCTGCATAGTATAAGTCTATTAAATGCAAACATATTGTATTGAGGGTGAATGAGGTCAGCGATCCATGTTGCAATATATATTTTAAAGAGAAATCTACATACATGATTGTCTTTATTCATTTTATCAGCTCACATGTGAGCAGAAGAAAGACACATTATGGAACAGTTGATCTAAGTTGCTTGTTTTGTGTTGCCATGAAGGCACGTCTATGCATTTGACTTCAGCAGTCTGTGTCAGACAGATGTAATGTTGGACAGGAATACAAGGGTGCCTTTCCTGGTGTGACACTTTGAGAAATCCATTAAGACTCATTGTTTTATTTTGAAGGGGAAATCATTAAAAAAGTAGTCAGGGACACTGTGAATGTGCCATCTGCAATCTGTCTTGAGCTGTGTAGACCACTTGGATGTAAACCTTACTTAGCTGTGGCCAAAGTAAGGATACGAGAAAGCGTATCAAGGATGTTCAAAGTATTTATAACTGTGCTTCTTCTACATGATGCTCTTGCTTTCTTAAAACAGTGCCATTTAACTCATTTTAGTTTTTTGATTATATGTCTAATGTTGTAGTTTACCAAACATACTGCAGTACACTCGTTTATGCGGAAAAACACAAGGATTTCTGTCAAAGACAATATGTTTTTATAGAGAATTTGAAATGTCAGATAGCCGCACCTTTTAAGACAATGTGAGGTCAAGTGCAAAAAAGCAGGTTCATGAAATCTCAACAGAGCAAGTGTTAGCCGACATCTAAACATATAATACAATAAACATGTTCTGGACCATTTAGCTTGAACCAAATAGAGCTGCAGAATCCAGCATGTATCATGCCTCGCAGTGTTTCATGTTGTTTGGATCGCTCTCTCATCGGCCACAAGCTTTGTAAACCTGGAGCCAAAGTGCTGCGACCTCTTCACCAATTACACTGTTAGACTGATGTGGAGGGGTATGGACGGAAAAAACACCCAATGGAGATTTCTGTCTTATAAGCAACAACAAACTGTGAACATTTAACAGCTCTGAATTGAAGGCATTGAAATACTTTACTTGGAGAGTTCATTTGAGTTTGAATAATCCACTTAACTTAAAGACTGAACAATTTCCAATTTTGGGTAAAGATAAAAAAATAATTTACCTTAAACTAGATGCAAGTTAAGACAGTCATTTTTGGATATAAAAATCCAGGTTCATTCAGAAACCAACATTTAGTATGAGAGAATAAATATGGAAAATATGTAATACCAAGGATAACCCATGAATGAAATTATGATTTCATAAAAAGAAAATCAAAGAAATCCTCACGTTGACAATAATTATTTTGAATTGGTGAGATGCTGATCCTTGGTAGATTTACACACAGTAAACAATAAGTAAAGTATAGCATTTTGACACATTTTCTGATGAAAGAAAAGTGTAATAAATAGTTGTAACATGATTATATTTTTAACATTCTGTAAAATCAGATTCAGCAACTGGACACTTTTCTAACTGAATTTCAGAAAATGAAGGAGAAAACCGAATATAACGAGTTCACCTGCAAGAAAATAAGAATTCAGAGAAATTATTTTCAAAGTAATATTATACTGTAAGTTTAATATAATTTTTAAATTGCAGTGTTATTCAAATAACAATAAGGTTTAGTATCCAGAAAAAGTTATATTAGTTAGGAATAAGGTGTTCAGTTGTGTTTGAAAAACTCAAATGTGTGCAGCCTTTCTTTGCCTCCATAGGAGGAAGGATTATATTTCTGCAGACAGATTCCAGCCGCACGCTGATTGGTCCTTGCACAGTACCACTTCTTCCTATTGATATCATTATGCATCACGCAGATGTGTTAATATGCTACAGCATGTATTCACAAGATAATGTAAATAGCAGCATGTTTTAAAGAGAAACCATAATTATATTGTGTAAGTGTGTTTGTGATCTGTGTCATTTTTGATAATAAAACGGAGTAAAAAAGAGTATGCACTGACTGCAAAGTGTATGTATTTTTGCTGATTGGGACTGAATGTAAGTCTTAAGAATCCATGTTGGGGGTCACACTCCTTTAATGCCTGGGATTAAAACGAGTTTGCTTTGTGTATCATGTGTAAAAAACACAAAAAGATCCACTTTGTTGCCATAAAACTGCATGTCTGTCTTGTTTCCTGTCATCGTTTGTATGTGTCCTCGGTGTTAAATCCAGTGTTACAGAATGCCTGGGCTACATGTTATTATTATTCATTTCTGCTTGCACCTGTTATGCAGTATGTTTTGATGCTGACCAGTAAACTGTATATATTTCAAAAAAGGAGAAAATATTTAGCCGGTCCTTGATTTTCTATCTCAGTGTACCGTAAGTGTTTCCTTCATTTACTCCTGCCAGTTGGGTGTTAAATCTAAATTAAATGTAGATATAGTGGACGGCTTGAAGCTTATCTTTCCTTCCGTGCTTCATTAAACTGTACCTTCTCATCTTATTGCATTTCAAATAAACCTGCTCTCACATGTCTGATTATATTTTGTAACATAATAAATCAGTCAGTAATTTGCATATAAACTTAACTTCGTTTAATGTCTTTTTACAGTATTTATCACAATTATTTCGCTGGATTACTTCTGTGGAATATTATTATTGCATATTATTGATGCAGTCCTCTGAAAAGAGCTCCAGTCATGTCGTTCAGCCGTCAGTAATCTATTCACTGACTAATGGATTGCAATGGGATGAGCTGGTGTTACACTTGTGCATGCACTGAAATATCAATGCTGTATCCATCATGACGTCTCCAATGTTGGGATTTGGTTACCCATTGCTCCTTTAAATCACTATTATTTGCTGTTGAATAAAACTTTATCTACAGTGCATAAAGATGAACAATCGTGATCTGGATGACACTCCATTTTTTAGAGCAAAATGTAGCTATCTCTATGTTTGAGAGGCGGAGAGAAATACGAACCACATATATTCTGAAAATTCAATTCCTCTATGTGTTGTCAAATTTAGGTTCAAATGTTATTGTGAAAGAGCGCCACATTGCTTTCTTTTCTACAGCGTGTGTCAGTTCATTCCTTACTGGGGTCATTTAATATACTCATGCTCCTCTATCTATACTGTATATGAGCTGTCTCAAAGGTTTTGTGTTTTTGCAATAGAACCATTAGAGCGTGTATTTGTTTATTGATGTTTTATTGATGGATCATATAAGTCTGTCACTTTTCTGCAATACAGGCAACAAAATCCCCGTCTTCCTGGGTCTCTCAAGCGTTCTGGAGCGCAGATGAGACCCAAACAGAGCAGAAAAACATTCGCAATGCAATACTGCCAATCTGCTGCTTCAATAATAGTCTTCAGTCCTCTTATGTGAACATAGCCATGATACAGAACATCCAAAGACCTGATCATCACCCAAACTGTGTCCATCAGGCAATCACTTTCCGAGCAACATAGACAAGGGAAATGCTTTGACGTCTTTCTGGACTCTTGTTTTGTGTCTTGTTGTAGAGGTCTGTCAGTAGTTGTGCCTTTTTGTGAACCGCATGATTTATTTCCGTACGAAATCCATGTTTTCCAGCAAAAAAAAGGAACAAAAACCACACATGTACTCATATATCACTCTGTGTAGAACTGAATTACTCAAGGGAATCAAAATATGGGATGTGGTCAGGACGTATCTGTGTGTTGTCAACATGTAACCTTAGGAAATAAAGGCATTTTCAGTAGCCTCGTCCTGTGTGGTGTGTAAATGGAATCCGAGGGTGCTCTTCCACTTTTTGTCAGTGGGTGGCATCATGCATGTGCTATATGAGAAAAATAGAAGGGTGAGTTATAGCCAGCCACTTTAGATGGCAAATCAGAGTTTACTATTATACACTTATATATGTCATTTTCAACATTTCTAAAGATGTTCTTTGAAAACACACTGGTGAGAATAATTGTGTTCTTCAAATGATTCATAGCATCAAATAGTACAAAAAAGTAGTTGAAAGTGCCTTTGGGGTCTGGCAGGTATCCAGTGAGTGTTAGATTATAAATGGGACTTCATTAATCTTCTGAATGTAATTTAGAAGATACATTATGGCCAGCATGGTGCTTCTAAGGCTTATATAAATCAGAAACAGGTAATTGTGTTTGTGAAATTAAATGAAAATCCTACTGTATATAAAGGAGAATTGTATTTTTTTTCAGTGCAGCTTTGGGTCATGAAACATGATCTTTATCAGAATTTCTCATTTAACGTTGGGCCTCAAAAGTTATTTTTATATCTTGTACAACAGCTGACAAAACAATCCCACTTTCGCCATCCCACCATCTGCTGATAAAGAAAAAGCTCTTTATGTATCCTAAGGAAACTAAAAGCAACATAACAACGACTAAATTGACCTTGAGGTGAGATTATTTTGTGATTTCCATTGCTCTATTCATATTTTACATGATTGAATGATTTCATTCTAAGGAAACAGAAAAGCTTTTTTTATTTATTCAACCCCATCCGGTTTTGTATTGTTTTGTATTTTTTCATTTCAGGCTAAGAGAAGTTACATCATACTTCAAGGTAAGGTTAAACATCTTTTAAACCAGAGGTGACGCTCCCACGTTCCTGAAAAATGTATCCCATCCATCACCGGCTGTTCCTGAGAGTTCAGAGCATGTTTTCAATGTCCACATATGGAATAGACAAAAATAAATGGCAGTTTCCATGGTAATACCTCCATGAAAATACCTGCAATATTTTGTCCATATATGTAGGTTATTAACACACAGTCAGAAATGCTTTACTGATTCCAACACAGTGAAGAAAAAATACAAGACGTTGACAATCTTGTGGACATTTGCCTTTATGTAGAAATATCTTATGAATATATAAAATGCATTTTAAGTTAATGTATTTTCTATCTGGGAATGTGCTACTACTTAAGATACAGTACAGTAACATGAGGCTTCACAGCTGATCATACATGTGTCTGATTGTAACTCAACAGACAAAAGACTCAACTTTAATATGTACATACATTCTGTCTGAGGATAGGGCTGAATGTAAGAAGAATGCAGGTATAAATATGGCTTCTGTTATCCGCCCCTCTTCTTCTACTACTTCTGTCTCACTTGGACAGTTTAGTGATGACCCGGATTAAAGCTCCATTCTCGTCCTTCAGTCTCTGGTTCTCCATATTCAGCTCTGCTTTTACCTGAAGGAAGGGAAGGAGACAACTGGTAGGCAAAGTCATGACATGACATGATAAGAATACAAAATAAAAACTGTAAACAAAGAGATTTAGGTCACTTAATATAGATATGTGTTTGCCATACCAAAAATGTCAATCTATTTTTGGATTGTGTCTTGATATTTTGGTAGTATTTTCCTATGCCATGCCCAAGGTTTTGGAATTGATTCATGCAAAAATGTTCAGACTCCATTACATCGAATTCAGATTATGTCAATTAGTCATTAATGGTTTCCTGTTTTAATTAATACTCACCATATCATTTCAGACAACTCCACTTCCTGCATTTGTGTGTTTCCCGTCCTAATTGGTTCACATTCACATCACCTCATTATTTGATGGGTGTATTGAGTCTTTTCCCTCTCTCTCAGTGCCAGTTATTATCTTGTGTCAAGTCTTGTAGCAATTATCATATATGGTCTAGTTTTCCTCTCCCTCTCCCTGCTAAATGTGTCTATTTTTAACTCTGAACCCAAACCTTTGCCAAGTAAAGACAGTATCTTATTTTGTTGAACTAATATAATGAATTGAGTAATGTTGCCCATGGTTTCCAGACTAGTTACATTTAATAAAGTTTAGTTTAGGGTTAGGGTTGGTTACATAGTCAACTTAAACACATGTGCACTAGTAAAATACTATTGTATTGCTAACTGATCCTGAACTAAATTTAGCTTCACATAAACAACTTGGTTGTTCAGGAGAAATGATACACTGAAACAAATACATAGCACATTTACAAAAACACGAGATGTTACACTTGCATCCAGCAACACACACACTACTGTACTGCACTTGCTCATTTAAATAAAGACTATAACAATGCTTCTCTGTTTTGATTACTTTCAAACCAGCATCTCATGTTTGTTTAGTCCCAAACAAGAGGTTTCTGTTTGTGTCCTATTGGGCATAACACAGCAGACATTTGTGAATGTTAGACTGTACATGAACGCTGAGGGCCAGCTCGCTGTCAAAGTGCTCACACATTCCACAGCCAGCAGAGCATAATGGGGACAAATGATGTCAGCTGAGACCAGTGTTTGGACACACAGACACTTTAAACTGTGTGCTTTTGATTGTGCATTGTTTTCCTCATGCCAAATAAGCTTAACTCCCTCCTGGGTAAGATATCGTGCTATATTGTTAATAATAAAATGTTTAAAGGCGACTGTATGGTGAATGTTAGGGTGAATTACAAGACAACTTATTCATAGAATTACCTTCAACTGCTCTTCCAAATCCGTTATCCTCTTTTTTATACTCCAACTTTCCTATGGGCAAAACATTCAGATAAATAAATAATTATAGACACTTTTAAAGAATATATGTTTTAGTATAATCTGGATTTTCTTTTACCTTTTTTTCTGTCTCAAGCATGTTGGAACTACAATCTTCCGCTCTTCCCTTCTGCAACAATGAAAGTCATTTAAAAAATGTTTTTTACAAATCCTTGCAGCCCCCATCATTATTGGCTTCTCTATTTTCATAACACTGAGCAAGTGTTGCATGTAAAGTGTCAAATATATCCACAGTTGCACACAGAATCTCGAAAGCGGATAACAGTTATTTCATTGTGACTTACATATATCATTTATGACATATCTCTCTCACACTTTTACCTGATATTGTCATGAGAATATATGGGAGATATTTGGATATGAACTAAAAAATGAAAATCTGAATTATTGAAATGATTGCTTTTTTTGCTCTGCTGAACCCATTTGCTTCACACTCCTACATTTAAATGAGTAATAATGATGTGCTTTACCTGTGTTCTCTGCAGCTGGTCTTGAATCATTGCCAGTTCCTGTTTACTTGTTTCCAGCCTGGACTTCAGCCTGTGGTTGGTGGCCAGTGCCTTTTCATACATCTACAAAATATTCACTTGTTAGCATTTCTAAAAGATTGTTTGTTTCGCAGCAAAACAAACAAACATTGACTGTAACAGCAACAGTGAAGGTGTGTGTGTTTTTTAGTATGCTACTGATCATTATAATTCCCAGACCATAAATCCTAAAGACTTTCCCATACCATCTATCACAACAAATAAGTCAAAGTGTACACTGATAAAGGGAAATATCGATATCTACTAGATCGGCATAATGATTTCTATTGATTGAACATATTTCTATGGACCTTTTGTATTGATGAATCAATCCTTTATTCTACAACACAAAAAGGCCCACAAAATGTATCTATATTTCAGGATGATGCATTCAAATGGAACTGTTGGCCAACCAACAATAGGAAAATGTCAAGATACTGAATTTACAATAATAATATAA